ATCCCCAGCTATCGTTTAGGACTACACCATGGCTGCACTCGAATAGTCCATTTAGCTTAGGAACCTTCCTAACCGAGTGAAATGACCCGGAAGTCCCTCAGTGGCAGCCATGATAAGTGCCATTCGAATTCTCTAAAATGATAGGAAAGGAGGTTTCAAACTTCCTTTATAACCTCATTTAGCTTAGGAACCACTGGACCTCCCTAACCGAAAGGAGAGGAGAAAATGCTGCCCACAATGCCTTGCAGCCGCAGCATTTGACGTCACACAACAGTCGGCCGTTCATGGACACAAACGATTATGACGGAGAAATTATATCATGAAAGTTACGGTGCTTATTAAGCATTTTAAAACGTATGTGGTAAGTTGCCAAAGTGCTTTGTTTTGAACGTTCATCAGTATTATAATCAAAAAGAGAAATATGAACGTTAGTTTTTACTGAAATGATCAAATAAAGTCAACATTTCACTGAGCTGTGTGGGGTTTGTTCAATTTTAAAAGATGTTTGAATGGTGATATACACAGTGATAGATGTTAAGGACTAACTTTTATAATAAATACATTTGTATTTATTTTAAGACATTTTCATACAATCATACGTATTGGGATCATTTGTATTAATGTGGACTGGAGGGAGAGGGTGATGAGCATACGTTTCACTTTCCTTTTTTATTTCAATTCCAACTTTGGTCATGAAGAATATGTTTCTCTGTTGTTCATAAAGCATAAAGCAACAGCATCAGAGCACGGTGCAGTCTCTAGATGAGTCCGTCGTTCTTATTATACATCCATGTTGTAGTCCGCTGTATAGAAAACTGTAGTTTCCATAGTTCCCCCACAGCAGCAGAGGCACAAAATGACGTCCGCTGGCGCATCATAAACACGTCGGATAGTGAAAGTGCATTCGGTTTCTCTAAAGTACCGCAGTCTCTAGTCCTAAATCCTTTTGAATTCTCCTATCCACTATCCCTTAACCCTGTGACGTTTCACTCAGAGGTCAAGGAATAGGAGATAGGGTTAGAACTTAGGAGCTGATTTTTAAACTATCCGACCGCAACCTTGGACTTCAGCCCTCGTCTCCGTAAATATCCTTGCGTCAGCGTCTCACGTGTTGGGCGTGCTCTCTTCTGACCATATTTGGAAGTACAACTTCCTACAGGTTCAACCTCCTCTGTCCGGGGCCGCAGCTAGAACCTTCCCGTTCCTTCAACATGATACTGTAGTGATTACAAGTGTGATTTCAGCATACGAGTGCTTTTGTTTTGAAATTACTTCGGTGTGTTTCGTCTGCGCTCTTATTTATTAAGGTAACTTCCGGTAGCAGAATATGAAAAAACGGTAGTTTTTTTGTTTCTATTTTCTAGTGATTTTATTTTTTGTTTTGAGAAGTAGAAAATGAAAATCATCCCGTTTTTTAAGTTTAGTAAATCCCTTTTTTACCATGATAAAGAAAAACGCCTTGTATTTCAATTTTAAAACGAAAAATCAAATATCCAGTCGTCTTTTTTTTTTGAATATCTTTTGTGAAAAGAAAATCCAATGACCAAAAAATATACTGACCCATGTTCTTAGTTAACTTGTGAGGCTTACAACGTGCACTTTTACTTAAACTAGTTTGATGAAATGCTGATGTAGGTGGCAACATGTGTTATTTGAGACTTCCCATTGGCTCTCCAGTACAAAAGGAAATGTACTAACCAATCAGAACTCAGGATTGTCTTATTGTCAAATTAATTAAATTAAGATGAAATACCGGATGAAGCACAACGTTTAATAACAACAAAAATCCCTAAACAGCATCACAGTAGGGAATAAATAGTTCTGCAAACATAAACACATTTTTCAATTTACAATGAATCCTAACTGCAATATCATCACAAAAACTCATTTTGTAAGTGAAGGTTCCTTACAGGTTGGAGAGGTGGTGCATCACTCTTAGTTCATTGAAACTTTCTTAACTCGCACCATCTGATTATTTATTAGATAGAAACTATTAAGGACATGTCATTTATTCACTAACAGAGAATAGTTTTCAGCCCTGTTAGCAGGTTTGTGGCTAACTGAGCTCATGTCAAAGTCAGCAGCCATGCTAGAAGCTCTGTGGCTAACTGAGTTAGCTCAAATAATGTTAGCAGCAGCTTACCATAAATGAAAAATGCTAACTTACTATGTTGCTATGTTCATCTTAATTAGCATGCTAACATTGGCTAATTAGCAATTAACACAAAATACAGCTGAAGCTAATGCACTAAGTAGTTTTAAAGGTAATTGGTCAGAAAAAGACATTATCTTAAATAACTGCTTTTGGCTGGAGTTCATGGGTTTACCCAAGTATTTATACTCTTTAACATGTCACAGCAGCGCAAAAAAACGTAGCATTCAGGCATAGCTTCTAGCCTTGCAGTCTCATCATTTAACTAGCCCGGATTGGCGGATTATCTAATTTGCTCAGTTAAAATGTGTCGAATTGATTGGATGTAAATGCCATTGTTGGTTGTCTTGCAGCCACTTTTTTTTAATACACGAGGGAGGTGGCAATAATGTCAGAAACTCCTGGTATCTAAAACTCAAAATTACTTGGTAGCCTGTAGTTACAGTTTGAATGATATGTTTATAAGTTTCAATAGGGAAATTAATGATAGCTGAATTCCATTTATTTACTTTAGCTTTAGGCTTCTGGATCAAAAGAACAAAGCTATCATTAATGTTATCAGAAAAACCTGTGTATTTCCTAGTATGATAATAACCCCCAGTATTGTTTACACAATATTCTGGGATTTATCCAGCAAATAATATTTCAGACCTCCTACTACAAAATCGTAATTTTGGACTTGGAAAATGTTGAACGAGCATTTTCTCAAATTATTTGTAATCCTTTGTAAACTAAACAACTACAAAAATAAATGTGTAATCCCCTGCTTCATGAAATGATCAAATAATCATGGTGGCAGTTCCCTGTCCTCACCAATGTTAGTTTCAACAGCTTTGGTGAATTATTTTGTAAAACTGGGTTCTTTATCATAGCTTTTTTTTACGAGATCCTATTGTTGCCAACAATAATAATATTAACACGTACTGATGGATACCTTGTTGTCTCTTTGATAACTCGTAAGAAGTAATGATTGCTGGCTGCATGGTTTTCTGATTGTAACTGGTTTGGATATTTTTCCCTTCTGCTGATGAGTAATTCTAACTAATTCTTCTAAATAATAGCTTTGTGTGAATCTTCGGGGAAATCACAGTGTTATGTGGACTAATACGTTGCACCACATCCTGAAACATCACAGTAAAAATGTAGAAATATTACAGTGTCCCAGTAGACCCAACTCAGGATAAATGAGACAAACAACCACACTCCTGTCCCAGCGCTTCATCACGCTACTATAGAACATATCACATAACCCCCCGGCTTCTACATATTTTATAGCTGCATGTGGTTCCAAACAACAGACACTTCCTTCATTTCCTCGCTGCCAGCACCCTTTTGGTCAGTGGGCTTTCGTGGCAATTGTCATGTTAATCGTGGGGGTAATAGGCGCCGCTGATGTAACATGGACTTCTGTCTGAAAGAAGTACATCTGAAAGAAAACATAAACATTTATTGTTATCATTATGTAATATTATTCTGTCAAGGTTAAATGTGTAAGCCGTATGAAGCCGTCACTCACCTTACAGCCGACAGCCAGCAGCGTATGCAAAACCACTATGGTCACCACTGTAGCCACTGCCATCACCTTGGTGTCCTCGCGCACAACCGGCCAGAAAGTGAGGACCAGAACTGAGCCAGAGATCACCATGGCAACCAGGATCAGTGTCCAGCGCAACCATTCAAAGGGAATGATCCACAGAACCTGGAGAAGACAGCACATTGCAACCATCCTGTGACTGAGTTTTGATTATCTCGCCAGCTTTCGGACTGATCTACTTCACGTTTGGCATGTGTGTTGTTGTGGACTCGTGGTAATGCAGTTACCTCGCCTGCCTGGCCAGCAGAAAGCCTGGCTATGTTCGCTAACGTTTTCTCTTGGTCAAAATGGCCTGGAGACTTTGTTTTTCGGGTTAACTTGTATAGGTCAAAATATTCACTACTTGCACTAGTTTGGTTAATTTTGCCTTTACTTGATAACTAGTTGCATACACTTTGTTACATGTTTATTAGTCAAGGCACAGATGTTGACTCGTTAACTTGAGTTAAGCACTTATGTGCACTAAATAAATATTGACAAGTGAGTTTTGGTCATTAGTTTAACTGGTTGAACATACATGTCAACTAGCAGGTAATTTTGTTGTTAGAAAGCTGAACACCACAATTAGTCACAAACAAATAAAAAAGGCCAATACTATTGAACCGGTGTTCTACAGCCGCTCACTAGTACTGGGCAACAATTAACTAGTTAAAAGGAAAAACCCAACATGTTGGAGCCAGACTAGTGAGACAAAAATGTATTTTGCTAGTCAACTAGTGAGAAAAATATCATGGTCACTATTTAACTAGTGACAACCTTTTTGACTTTACTTGCTATCTAGTGAGATACAGTTTGTGTAACCAGTAGGGTACAACAACTAGTGTACAACCCAGTTTAAAAAGGAAAATAACACTACTCGCCTAATGTACTGATAAAATCATTCATATTTTTCTTAATCTGTCCAAGCATTTCCTGAGATTCTGCACATCATTATTTTAATTCTACCCAGGTATCCAGCCCTCTTGTCTTTGTGTTTCTTATGAACGTCAAACAATGGAGCAGATCAGACAGTTGAGTGACACTCTTTTCAATATCACTTCGACACGATACATTACATTACAATTAGCTGACGCTTTTATCCAAAGCGACTTACAATAAGTGCATTCGACCAAGAAGATACAAACTTGAAGAAAACAGAATCATATAAGTACATCAGGTTTCATAGAGGTTTTCACTACTTTCTACAGTTGCTGTGGTGCATTCTACAGTAAATTCTACACTACATTCTACAGTAAACCAAGAAGTAATCCTGAACAAGCACTGAACCTACTAGCAAAACTTTAAAAGGTAATAGACTTACCGAGGTTGGGATGTAAATGAAGAGGGAGTAGCCGTAGACACACACAGTCTCCAGGAATGAATAGCCTCCGATCTGCCTCTCAGCCCCTTGCCGCCAGGTCAGGAAACCCCATAAACCAACGGGCACCAACCAGGCATACATGAAGATCACGAGTGCAGCTATCGTCACTGTTAGCAAAAATCAGGACAAAGACTGCAGGCTCAGCATGACTCAATACAAGTAGGAAAAAACTACTGAGGTCAATGTAACCTTGTTGAGGACTGACCTCTGTGGAACTGAGGTCTGTAGTGGTATGAAGGGTTCCCCTTCTCACTGAGGAAGCTGGACAGGTTTCCGCCGATCGCTACTGAGAACACGAGGGTCACACAAATCCAGAACGGACCTATAAACAAACACAACTGTTCATGAAGACTTTCTGTAATATTGTAAATCTCATCATGATCAAACAATCTTCCTCCAGCCTAAATCTGAGTCCCGAACTTGGCCCTTTAAAGCTGTAAGAAACAAAAAGATGTTTGGAAGATGTTCTGTGCCTTTTGATTTTTATTAGCATATATAAGGTTGTTGTTGTGTTTTGTCCAAAATAAAAAAGCCACTGGGTTGTACTCTTTGCCTCAGTATGTTTCCCAACAAATGCGGGGATCTTAAATACGCTGCATCACTTCATATGTATTTGCGATAAATATAAAACCTGTCAAAGAGCGGATGAGCTCCTCGTGAGCCAATGGCCATCTCCTGCAGCCAATGCTTGCGCCAACGTATTGACCTCTGTCTTTCCTTGGAGTCCTGCCAGCGGAGGCCAAGTGTGGTTCCTGCAGCTTGGGCAACGCTGGAGCCCTCATTCCCGGGCAAGTGCAATGGAGAGGACACTTCATCCCGGTGTTGTAAAGGCGCCGGGGAAACAACACGGCAGAGCGACAGTCTAGGAGTTATAAGCTCCAGTCAGATTGGCGTAAGACGGAGCGCCACGGGTCCTCTGCGTCAGTGGGAGGGATCATCGTGCCCCAATGGTCATCTACCGCCCGCCTCAAGCCAGGCTGCCCCTGGCCAGTTATGTTCTGACCCGCCACGTCTATTTCTTCGATGGGGTGGTATGGACGTTTCGTTGGTATGTTTGCCAGAATGTTATGTTGTAAGCACTCTACACGTACATGGAGAGAATTGATGAATTGATTGATGGTTAGAGACAGATTTTGCTGCTGCAGGATCCTTTTATAT